CAGGACTATGCTGCAGCCTGGCTCTTAGTCTCTGAGACACACACACACACAGGACCTTGCTGCAGCCTGGTTAAGGAAAGAACAGCCTGCTGTGGAGACTGATTATTTCACAGAATCCGGGTCTCACCTTGCCTTATAATTGGAAACTGCAGCTAATTGCTGCCTGAATATGAGCAATGGAATGGTACCAGGTGTTGGGAAACTTGCTATGCCCAATGCGCATGTTCCCTCTCCCTTACCTGCACCCACTTTGGGGCGGAGCCAGGCCCCCTGGAAGGCGGGGCTAAGGTAGCTACGTCAGCACGTAAATTATGATTAAGGTAGGTAAGTGCGTCAGGTGGGCCGGCAACACAGAGTGAAGACGGAAGGGACTACGGGTTAAGCTCATCATGCCAGAATCCAGGGCTAGCAGAGAGATGGACTGAAGGGCCAGCTTCATCACAAGCAACTTTCTCAGTGGGTAACAGCAGACTGAGATATCACAGCGTCCGACAGTGAATACAGTGGACCATCCCTCCCGCTGAGAGAAGAACATGTCTCGCCAGGTTAAGAATCACTAACCCACTCAAGCAACAGTGAGGAAGAATTGTCAGCCTGTTCGAGAAAGAGTGAGGAGTTCAATCTACTTGCGTGAGTGTGGGTGGGGAAGAGAGTGAGAGAGAGACAGCTCACCACTTGCCTTTGTGAAAAGGACAAGTTGCCAGTGTGTATAGGCTGAAGAATTACCAGTCTGCCCAAGGGATTGTACTGAAACAGTTGGAAACCTGTTGAAGCAAGAGACGACAGCGTGATAGGTCAATGGAGGTGATTGAGAAATGTCACGATGCTTGAAAAAGTGTCTGATGGAAAAACTGAAGCAGATTAGAGGTTACAGAAATCTGGGCTGTGGATCCATCTGTTTTAAGTGTCAGTTTTGAATGCACACCAACGTGGAGCAATTGAACATGCTGCCTGCTGTGTTGAGGAGATGGCTGCACAAACCCAAAGTAAGAGAGTATTCAATATTATATATTCTGCACTCAATCTTCCCACCTTGGCATTCCACTCTTCTCAGCTATAGTTTTAAAAACTTGTTTCTAACATTTTCTGACCTTCCTTTGCTTTTCATTCTTCTCTTTTATAAACTCTCAGTTAGAATTCTACTCTGCAGATTAGCAGTCTGTTAAAATGGTGAGTGATCTCACTTTTATTCAGCAGCTACTGAGGAATTTAATATTGTTTTCTCCACACAACAAAATCTCCTCATTAAGTTCTATGGTGCACTCCCTAAGTGTGTCATAGCAGCCACAGATTATGGGTTCTCTCTTTGATTCTTATCTGCTTCCTTTTCCTACTGTTGGAAAGTGCCTAGACTACATTCAATGCATTCATTGCTTGATCAGTAATGCATTCAAATCAGACATGCTGCAACACCTTCCAAAAATTATAAATTTGGCAAATATAAGTTTTGGAAGGCTTGAAGCCAATTAATCGTTAATCTAATTCTGCACACCAAGTTACAATTTACAAAATTGTAATCCTATTTTAGTAGAAATAATATCTCATTTGGGAGCAGGCAACAAATCAAAAGGAAGTTAATTTCTTTACGATGATTCCATTAGAACCAGGCTGCAATCCAAGATTCCAGGTCACTTCAAGTAAATTAATATTTGCATCTGTCTCTTGAATCACTTCAGTTGCCTGTCTGATACAAAAAGAAATCATGGTGTGTTGGTAATTGTGCAGTAATCACATTCGTTTTCCTGATCTTTAACTTAACTGTAATTTCACTTCACTTAAACTTTCAGATTGAACCATTCAGCATACATCTACCATGGTTCTTTGTTCTAGGTTTTGTGTGTGATGAGTTTTGGGAAAAGCTGTCTAATTTGTCTTTTGGTGAATTTAGTTCATTTAAGTTTGGAGATTTTTGCAAGATTTTGCTTAGTGTGTTTTAGCTGCTGTCTCTTGTTGGCCAGCCACGTAACTATATATAATGTGTATGTAATTAGTTGTTTCAATGTAACTAAAACCTTTCCCCACCACCCCCACCCCCAACACTCCTCTTCTCTCTCTCCTTTTTCCACCCCCACCTCCAACACTCCTTTATTCACCCTCCTCCTGCTGCAATATTGCTTGGCAGAGTTCCACAAGAAACAATTGGCTCTCAGTATCTTCACCAAGTAAACTTTCCATGTGTGAGTCAAGATAAGAGTCATCATGGTACCTGACCATTGGGAGTTTAACGGGGGTTGAGGGTCAATTTTGGTTGAGGGGTATCCTTTAACTAAACCCAAATATTGCTTTTGCCCCACATTTGAGAACTTTTCTGACACTGGTAGGATTTGAACCCAGGCCTCTGGCTGGGACATAGAAACTTGCCCCACATGTAGATTGCCATTTGAGAGCACATCTGATTACTTTGTAGTTTCCTTCCCACTGGGGTGCTAAATCCAATTTAGGGTGCACTTTTAAAAGGTTTTGTGGTACAGTGATAGTGTCCGCACATCTGGGCTAGAAAGCCTGGGTTGAAATCCCACCTACTGCACATGTGTATAATCACATGTCTGTGATTACAAAATCTAAATGGTGGACAGGTTGCATTCCAATTCAGTCCAGGTGACATTACAATAGGATTGTGCAATTGGACCGGGAATAATCTACCAACATATCTCATAGTTTATCTGAATCTGTATGTAAAGAAAGAATAAATTAATTTTGTTATAATTCTTAAGCTTTTATCATTATAATTTGCATAATTACCTGAAATGCAAATAAGACCCATCATTCATGTTTCTGAATCACCAGACGTAGTGATCAAACTATGCTATGTTTAGGCTTGTTTTAATGCTTCCTCCCATGTCAGCATTTAATATTTAATTACACTACATTTCTATATTAATTGCTGCACGAAAATTCAGAGATTTCAAGCCCATCACTTTAACAATTCTTAGAGGTGATCACTTTGACTATTAATATTGGTTTTTCCTCTTTCTAAAGATGCTGTCAGACCTGAGTGTGTTGATTTTTGATTTTGGATGTTTATAAAAAATATGTGTTTTTACGTTTAATTTTATAATGGTTCTGTAAACATTAAGACCCTTCTGGGTACAGCATTGTAATGTGAGCTGACTTTTGGTGCCACGCTGACCCATCACAAAATCTAACTTTCCACTGTTTTGTTGTGACACTGTATAGCTTATTGCAAATAATTTTTAAAAAATTGCTGCTTCCATTCATGCCACAGGTAACTATAATTTTTTTCTCACATTAGACGACTGCATAAACTCTTTTTTTTTTAACATGCATAGACTTTCCTTTGTTAATTGGAAAAGTCAGAAGCAGAAATGAAGTTGCAGGCTGGAAAACTGTACAATAAGTTGGTTCCCCATTCGTACAACTAATCAGAGTTCTACACTGTACTGTGAATGAGGTGGATTACTCATCACAGAGACAGTAGCTGTCATCCCACAAGGTCCATTGCACCATTTTTTCCAAACTCTCTCTTTAAAACTAATTATGTAGTTCATAGATTGGGTGTATCGAGTGGAGGACCACATTTCTATTCTAGAATTCATTTAGATCTTTTAAATCAGCTAATGCGTTACTGGCCAAGCAGTAAAGGTCAGCCTATTCTTTCCAACAATGTGCCATCACACCAAACCATAAAAAGAAAGGACCTCATTGTAGTGTTTTCATTTTCCACATTGGGTACTATTGTGATCGTTTTAATATTCAATTGCTTTCTTGTTGAAAAGTGAGGTTTTTGACTGTTGGCTCTCACCCGTCAGAAACCAGGCTGTGAATGTTTCTAAATAGTCCTACAACTAGAAGAGATAGAAGATTTTTATAGGGCTGACTTTCTAAGCAAGTCACAGATAAACCTGAGTCTAATGGAAGCAGTGGTTTTATAATTGGTGACTATGGACATCTGTAGTCTTCACTACAGGAGCCCAAGTAAATGTAGGGGGAGGGGTGTGAAGGTAGATTTAATATATGTGTGGATTGCTACACCAACTAGGGTTCTGACATAGTCCCCGACCTAAGTGCCAACTCCCTTCCCCTCCCATTCAGCATGGCAACATGTGCATCTTGAACCATAAAGCAGGTTGAGCTAACATTAATGTTGGTTATTATTGAAGCTTATTAGTAAAGCCCAAGAGAAAAAGAGTACTGTTGCTCAAGATAAGATGGGTGTGATTGGAATAACATAGGTCAGAGATGACAGGATAGAGTGGAAGGGGAATTGAAGAGGAGATGAACTATTTAAAAGTAAGGGATAAATGGACATTTTAAGCATGGTTAATTGTTAAACATCTTTCCAAGTTGAGGGATGAGCAGGAAGGAGCACTTATCCAATCATCGGTACAACAGTTAAAGATGTCTGGAGGAGGGATTCAGTAGAATTTCAGCAAAAAGTGTTCAGTGTAGCTACAGAAAGAATGGCATTAGCACAGTTATGTGGTTTTCCACAACAGGCTTGTTTAAAGGAAGTGAAAAGTTCTTTAAGATAAGAACCAGTTCAACTAGGCAAACGAGTAAAGTTTGATTAGGAATTGGTTAGGCCACAATCAAAACCAGAAATAGGAGGCCCTCATCCTGACTTGTTGTTGGATGGAGGATTAGAGCAACAGTTCAACCAAAGTGACAAAGAAGGAATCCTACAAAAGAGAGTATCAGGAGAATGGTCAATGTCAATCAACTAATAGATCATGAGTTGCTTAGGACACTTCCTTAACTCTGAAAGCATGCAGGCAGTTTGAAGAAGGTAAAAGACTGTGTTAGTTCACTAACACTCTGCATTTTTGGTTAATGATTATAGAGTCTGGAAAGTAGGCAGTCTGATGATTACCTGTCTCTTAATGTGGTGAGTTCTGAATCACTTTAAATGATCGTACAGGTCGCAACAATATTGCAGTCAATATGTGGTATTTTAGCTAATCCTGTTACCAGCTAGAGCCAAAATTCTTGAAACACCTTTGGGTAGATTCTCAACTTGTCACCAGGGGTGTGAATACAAATTTAGAATTGGCCAATGAAAACTGGCTGAAGTACACCAAAAGCCAGTTTGTTCATTTTTCATTGTCAGTGCATGTTGGAAAGGAGGGGGAATGGTTTGGGATTATGCAAATTTCCACAAGTGATGCACAAGTGTTCTGTTACTGATTAGTCAAAAGAACATGTCAATTGATTGTATGTATTTTTTCTGTGTTTAATAAAATTTTATTTCACGGGACATGTTTGGGTATTCCCACCACTTAACCATCTTTGTATCATGAAGTTAAACCTGTCACATGACTTCAAGTTCCATTCCTCATTTACAAACCTATAAATTAGGAACAGGAGTAGGCCATACAGCCCGTTAGCCCACTCCTCCACTCAATAAGATCTTTGTGGATCTGATTCTGGTCTCTGCTCCACTTTCCTCCTTGTCCCCATAATCCTTGATTCCTTTGTCCAATCGAAGTGTTTTCCATCTCAGCTTTGAATATATTCCATGACTTAGATGCCCCTACTTTCTAGGGAAGTGAATTGCACAGACTGCCAAATCACTGAAAGAAGAAATTTCTCCTCATCTCTGCTGTAAAAGGGAGACTTGGTAAACTGTGTTCCCCAGTAGATTCAGTCTTCCACACAAGAGGAAGCCTCCTCGCAATATTCACTTTATTAAACCCCTCAGGATCTTTGTTTTAATAATATTACCTTATCATTCTTAACTCCAAAGGATATAGGCCTAACCTGCTCAACCTTTCATGAGATAAGCACATCATCGCTGGAATGAATTGAGCAAACCTTCTCTGAGAAGTGTATGTGTCATTTGATTGCATGTCTTCTTTGTGCAGATTTGAATGCCTTAGTTTGGAATGTCTTAATTTGAATATAATATACGTGTAATGAATTCAAACCTCTGAGAATGAAAGGTAGATGTACTTTCTTTAAAATAGCATTGGAGTTTGGGTCTATAGTTTTGGCAAAGATCTGTAGCTTGGGTGGTGGATGAGGTTGT